AAGGGTCAAGTGATGTGTGCATTTGCTGAAAATAACGTTCCTAACATTCTTAAGATTCAGGTGAGTGACAGTCTCTGGAAGACTAATATCTTTCTGCTAGGTGTGTATCAGACGTTACTGCCGTCAAAAAACATTACACAGAAAAACTATCACTTGCATAGCATTTTCAACGTGCTAGCTGACGGTATAACTGCGTGCTACTGAAGGCTGAGGAACTTCTTGCGCAACAGCTACCTTTTAGTGTGCTCGTTTAGTACCTTCACTTACGAGATCGGAACACTGTTTCCTTTGAAACCTGCTCAGTGGTCGAGTCTGCCACACGTAGACGGACTGTTAGAGTGCAGGATATGCTGTACAGTAACGCTTCGCAAAGAACAAACAAATTAACCATGCATCTAAGGGAGTGGTAGACCTCGGCATTTCCCTCCACAGACAAGACCAGACTAAACACGGACTAAACGCAGACTAAACACACTGAATAATCACGAGAACAGACATTCCGGATGACCCGTATCAGGCTTCGGCGTCATGTTGTGACTGTTAATTAGAAATGTGTATGTGGAGCTACAGAGGAGAGAGACAGAGTGAAAGGTATGACTTCCTTGTGCAGCTACATATTTGAGGTAACCTATAATTCATCAAAGTGACTAACCCCGCGCGCTTTTTCATGCGTCAAAAGTTAGGCAACAAGAGTTAACGAGAAGATCAACAGTTAGAAATGTGCATTAAGGTGCAAAACTTATATAGACAGTGGATGGGCTCTATCCAAACACATATCCCACAGATTAGCCTTGCCGACAAAGACCAGGGAGACGCTAATGGCCACTTCTGGCTCATTAGTCGTCCTCAGCCAGCTATACCCAATCTTAGCTGGTGCAATACCAGAGTCGACCCGTTGATTAGAAGTCCAACATTCGCACTCACTGCGGTACCGCTGCCGGGGCTCGATCCTCGAGTGATACATAACTTGGGACTGGCTATGACCGGCTGATAACAGCTAGTGAGACTGAAGTGGACATTCCAGCCTCCCTTTTGTCTTTGTCGGTAATGTTCATCGGCCTAAACTTCTAACCACTGTGCGGCTGATTGCGGGTTCGAGAGTGAGCCTCAAGGCAGAGCTGGACGGATGAGTCCCGTAACATATTGGTGA